TACTACTATTACTACTACTACTACTACTACTACTACTACTACTACTACTACTACTACTACCGTCTCCATCATTTTGGGATCAGGTACACTGACTACTCTGTCGATATAGACTAGGTGAGAGAGGCTGTGGAGAAAGAAATGAAATGGCCAGGAAGGTTATTGGGTTACCGCTCACTACAAAAGAAAGTTCGAGAAGTGCACCAACTCAAGGTCCCAAGAAATCTGGTGTATTAATTTCCTTGTATGCGCCTCCGTCGTTCCAAATAGAGCTTTGATTTCAGCGACTTTATCTTCTTTGTATCTCTTGAGGACATAATTATTTCCCCTTGGCTATCCCACTAATGGCCTTTGCCAGGTATACATCACGAAATCCTCCACTGGCAAAGCTTTTCCCTTCCAGTAAAAAGGTTGCTCGGAAAGGTTCGAGCCATCTCATTTCCGTTTAAGGAAATTCTTTCAGCGAAAGGGTTACAATGTCCACCTCCGGTACGATTACTTTGCCTAGTTTTGACATCTTGCTATGCGGAACAGATGCTGCAATTGAAGATTTAACAATTTTTGGCCTATTTTCTATTGCTATTGGGCTACATTTATCCTTGACCGGCTCACTCTGTCGCTGAGGCGGCTGGCTTGACTTCTTGATAAATCTGATATGTATAACTTTCCAGTTTTGAATCTTGCTAACATCTGTGTAAGAAGGGCCTCGTTCACCAGCCAGAACATCGCTTTCCAGATTTGTTTTAAAATGTGCTTTGCATGTTTGGTAAAGTGACTTCTTCTTACAAAGGAAACAGGCTTAAAGCACCGATTCTAGAGTACTTCTGACACTTTCCTTTAACATTCGCAGACGGTCTTTGCACGGTAATGCTCCCGCACAGCCCAATCGGACCAGCTTCGTCCTTTTTCTTTCCTGACCTTTTCTTGGATATTTTCTCCTTGTAGTCCTCCCATTCACGTTTCCGCTTTGACATCGGCAATCAAACTGTTAGTTCAATTAGAATAATAATGAAGCAAATCGTCGAGAAGTGTTGACAAACTCGAACACGTGTGCGGGTGGGAATACCATGATATTACGTAATGCCGGAAGTGCATTGTGGTAAATGGCGTTGCTGGGCCACGGATCTTTTGTATTCTTATGTATTTTTTATTTTATTTATTTTCAATAAAAAAATCAAAATAACAAATAATATTATGAAAAAAATGAAAATAAAAACGCGTGCTTTAAAAGAATTAGACCATTCTGAAGCAATTTTTCCTGTGGGCCACCATAATACACCTTATTCCAAAATGGCCGACATTTTAGTATTCTTTTGTTTACTTGAAAATGAGCCCGTGTTGCCTCGTTTAAAGGAAAATATTCTTTTGAATTTCGAGTTTCAGAACGAGGCAACAAGGGCTAATTTGCAAGTAGACAAAAGAATACTTAAATAGCGGTCATTTTGGAATAAGGTGTATAGAGTGTTTCTGTCGAGGAACTATCGCCTGATAGTTGTCCCGCGGAAATTTGATATTCTTAAAACATATATTTGCCCGAGAAGCAAAGCTTCGAGGGCAAATATGCTAGTTTTAAGAACATCAAACTTCCAAGCGGCAACTATCAGACCGATAGTTCCGAGACATGAACACTCTATTGTCTTTAATGTTCACACCTAAATTTTCTTCCGCATGCCAGTTCAAAAATCATATTGAATTATTTTCAACTTTTTTGGATGAAAGCCGTGAAAGCTAAATGTAAAATTTGACAAAGAAAACAGAACAAAACCCACTTAATACAATTTCATTCCTTTATTTTCTAGATGCCCGCTTGTGTACAGAAACATTTTCACGGACGAGTACTATCAACCCGGGTATTTTCCACGGACGGGTACTATAGGCTGATAGTGCCTCTCCGCGGATGAACACTATCGCGTAACGTGATCAGTTGAAACCAATAAGAATCGGAGAAAATTTAGTGGCGAAATGCAACGGCTGATAGTGTACGATCACTCAGCCAATCAGATTGCAGCATTTGGACTTGAGTACTAGTAGAATTCTATTAATGGCTGATAGTCTAAGTGTGCGAGTAGCTTAGCCTACCAAATCGTAGCATTTGCATTGGTATACTAGTACAATTCTACAGTAGAACCCCGGTAACTCGAACTCGGATAACTGGAACTCCCCGCTAACTCGAACTAAGTCCCATTTTCCTTGGATTTGACCCCACTTTTCAGTCATTTTAACTCGGTTAACTCGAACTCGGATAACTCGGATTCCCTGCTAACTCGAACTAAATTTCGTTTCCCTTGATAAACGTTTACCCCGCTAACTCGAATTCTGGTTCATGTAACTCACCTGGGATGTCATCCCATTAGCTTTTCTTGTTGTTTAATCGGTAAAAACTCTTAAAACTAACAGCACAGCAATTTGATTTTAATTAGTGCAACCGACCGTTCATATATTTGACACACTGGATGCGGTGCCTTTAGCTGTCACTGTATACTGAAGTGCTGAAAAATCAGTAAATTATCAATTATTAACATGACAAGTTGGATATTCAATCGACGCCGATGACTCGAACCCCCGCTAACTCAAACTATTTTTCGTTTCCCTTTAGACTTCGAGTTACCTGGGTTCTACTGTATTTATGACCATGAAAACAATGAAATAAAATCAGCTCGATGAGAAATCCACTGGTCTAATTTTCATCTCAGTCCTCTTTAGGGAGTATGTGTATCCCTTCCAGTAGTACCAGTTCACACCATCGCCGTTGGGTGAGGGATTTTGATGTCGATAGATGCCATTCAGGTTAGATCTGTGACACACGTTGTACCACCACGCCCCATGACGCCACATGGCACAGTTTTTGTCTGGTTTGTTATCATTATCTTGATCTCGAGTGGTAAATGGTTTACCGCCATGAACAGAGAGAGAGTCACCTGCAGTTCCTGTGACGTAAAATAAAGAAATGAACAACCGGTTCATTGGCGAAAGGCTTCTAGTGTTGAAACAAGCCACGTTCTAGCTAAGTATTTGTTTTCGTAGTTGACAAAAAAATGTCAATATTCGATGCCTTGACAACGTGGTTTGTTCGAAAGGCTCCTTACATATCGGGGAGACTGGCAAAAACCTTCACACGAGACTGACTCAAGAAAAAAGAGCAACGAGAAATGGTGATGCCAACAATCGCATTTCTGGACGTCATCGACTGGCAAACCACGGCATTGAATTGGACTCTGCGAAATGCTTAAACTACAGTACAAACTATTTTCAAAGACTGACTCTGGAAGTCTGGTATGTTTACTTAGGACAAAAGCCTCTCAACAGGTGTCAACAACTACCAGCATCTTTTCTTTTTAATTTTCCACAATTATATGTTTACGATTAAAAGACTGACTTAAATTATAGTTTCACAAAGCGCTTATTCAGTAACAAGGAGAAAATGAAGAGATAAATTATTGAAATAAATTAATACAGCGATATCAAATTCACATAATTGTGGACTCAATTGTTTATAGGATTCGCTTCCTCAAACATTTTCCATTTTTTCCTCAACATTAAAAGAATTTAAAAGAATTTACTGTTCAGATTCATATTTATTTAACTAAAGTCTCCTAAGGTAATTCAAAGATGGCTTTGCTTCTTTGTACCGGCAAGACCACAAGTTTTCCATTTACTTTCGATACTACACTCGAACAAATACGGAAATGGAACCTGTCGAAGCAATCAAATGAAGTATCAAGCTGCATGATCAAGTTTTTCCGTCCGCATCTACGACGGTCTAAAATAGGGTTTGCAAATCCCTCTTCCCGCCACCAATGTTTCCTCCATCCCGCCATCCCGCCATCCCTCTTATTTCGGATGCGTCATTTCCATCTCGCCGCGTTCCAAAGCATTTTTGGGAGTTTTGAAGACGACGGCGACACCGAGGACGACGCCTTGTAAAATATTGATTTATATTTTATCTTGGAATGGCGCAACTGTGTAGATCTGCTCAGTGCGCCTATCGGTCTAAAAACTTGCTCAGGCTAAATTTGTAATGACAGCGTTCAATTATAAAGGCAGATAAGAAAAACTAGCCACTGCGGTCCACGTTCTGCAAAATACGTAGAACTTGGTCATTTTACGTTTTTGTTTTGCAAATGATGGGGGAGAAATGTACCAAGATTCAAAACGCACGTGCAGAAGCATTGTTTTCCTCATTAAACCTTTTGTTTGGTGACGTTCTCGTTAGCGTCGCCGTCGTGGTTTCGCAATGCTCCCTTTTAACTGTGACAACTGACGATGCTTTTCCCTGATGAGACACCGAGCTTTACCAAGTTAACGTATTGCAACAAAATTTTGTATTACCCTCGATCACCGTTTAAAGGAGCTACGTTACGGTTTGCGCATCTTGAAAAGTTTAACCTTAATTTTTCAAGTTTGTAATTTGAAATTCGTGTTAATGTTCTCTGTCCGGATCCTTGACCAACCGTGTTCCTTTACAATTTGTTTTTATCTCTTTGGTGTTTTTCTATCTTAGTAAACTACCTTTTTCAGGTTACCTTCAAATTTAAAGGTAATTTGGTACGTGGTCAAAATTACTAAAAAAATACCCGACTGAACTCCTTTAAATTCATTTACCTACGTCTGAGTTGGCGTTGATTCGTTGATGAGCATTGATGGTCTATCGATGTTTTTGGGTGTCGTATTATGAACTATTTTTATGTCTGGTCAAGTGCGTCTTGATCGTTATCGACCGTTATCGGGTTAAAACGCGAGCTCACCTTTTAGAATTTAATGGTTTCTAGAGAAAATTGACCAGGGTACTTTTTTAGACACGAGACAGTGGTCGGTACTCTTTCTTGAAAACAGTAGTCGGACTGCAGATTGAGTCTGATAAAGATCAGAAATTCAGGCAGCCTCTGAAATTATAGAGTAAACAAAAAATGACAAAAGCAAGAATAATTGAGAGATATCATGTGTTGCCACTGTTGTTTACTTAGTTTTGACCGTCTTACATCCCGTTTCCCGCACGCAAGAAAAAAAAAACAAAAACAAAAACAAAAAAATCAACAATTCCCGCTTCCTGCCATCCAACCCCTTGAAATCTCGCATCAGGCTGCAAATTTCCTTATATCCCGCTTCCTAGCAGCAAACAATGGCTCATCCCGCATCCCGCATCCCGCATCCCGCTAACCCTATGTTAGACCCTCATCTAACAGTCCACTGAAGTGCAGTACTTTCACAGCGCAAGGTAAAGTAACGGAAAAACTTCATACCTGAGTAACTGCCGAGTTTCAGCTTGTACTTGTCATTCTCACTCATAACACCGAACATGTCATAGTCGGCATAAGAAGTATTCCCTTCAAAGTCTTCCAAGTCCACCCGCAGCATGCTGGTATCATCTGAGGTCAGGTGGTGAATTTTGTCCAGTCCGAGCCAAAATTCACCTTTCAGATCACCGAAACCAACTTTGTAATCGCTCCAGTAAAGGTAAAAATCAATAGAGCCGTTCAGTCTCTTCTGGAACACTGTCCACCCCCCACCGGCTGTTGTTTGGTCACAAAACACATCAAAGGCAGGCAGATTGTCGGGCATGATGGTGTAAATACCGTCTTTTCTTTCACCAGATTTGTAGATATCAGCACAGTTCTTCAACGCTACAAGAGAAAATAAACAATGGAATACCGTCAAAAATCCATGCACGTTTTGTTTCTGAAAAGCTAGTCTGGAGGATGGTATAAACTAAACTACAGCTGATACTCTGTACACACCGCTTTTAAGAGTTGACATTAATCGGAGAACTTTAGATATGAGTTCTGGCTTTGACACATTGAAATAATGGCAATAGGCCCTTTGCAGGATCCGGTCACATGGTACGGAATTAATTACGCTGGGATGCAAGTTACACAATGGGACTTCCAAAACAAAGGAACTCGCACCAGTCCAGCCCGACTTTCCTTTGTTTTAGAAGTCCTACTGTGTAACTTGCTTTCCAGCGTAATTAATTCAGTACCATGTGACCGGACCCTGCAAAGGGCCTATTTACCTGAACAGGAGTGACCATCTCCAGCAAATCCTTCCTTACAAGTACATTTATGTCCACCAACAATGTTGGTGCAGTTTGCATTTACGTCACAGTCATGGTTGCCGCTGATGCATTCATCGACATCTACATTGCAAACGGTTAAAAATAACTTTAATTTTTATCTTTGGTATAAAGTAGATCAAAATGTACTGATACTGAAAGAGAAGTACAGGAGTCTAATTCTATTTCAAAAAAATATGACATCAACAGCATCATAACCCAAGGATACCCAAGCCATACTCGAAACAGAAGTAAAATGAAAGATGATTGTCAGTAACCTTCTAAGTCCATGTCACAATAAACCAAAACTGCCGTTCCATTCGCAGTTGGATCCAACCAGTACTTGCTGCTAATAGTGTCTTTGCCTTCGCTTGCCTTTATTTCCTGACACGAATGCGATGGGAGCTCCGGACTGGAACCAAGAGATACTTGGATCAAAAAATAAAAAAAAATAAAAAAAAAATTTAAAAAAATAACGTTACTTCTTCAGCAACTACACTGTGGTTTTTATAATGAAAAAATACAGTTCTTTTGTCGATCGAGCGTCTATGTGGTGATAGCTGCCCCCACTGAAAAAAGTTAAAACGCCTCTATAAGGTTTATTGAAACCCGGGCAAGTTTCATCATTTCATCGAATTACTCAACAAAATAAGTGTTGCAAATTGGGCAAAGTAAAATTTTTCGGAGGTTTGAGGCGAATTTTAGCTATTACTATGATAAACATGAGCACCGACGCTTCCAAAACAAGGAATGCAACCAGAAGTTCGTGTTCTTGGTTTTGGCGCACATGTAATCCTCACCAATGCGTTTGAAAGTTCTCATTTAAGCATTTAGAAAGTGACGTTGACAACGAAGAGTTGAATAAATGCGCCAAAGAAGATAGCACTGCACTTTCGGTTGACGTCCGTTTCTCAAAAACGTGTGTGCTTAAGTTCCCTTATATTTTTGTGCATACCCCTGTTGCTCAAGCGTCTTTTGTAAAACCGTGCCGGATCTGAGCGGAAATTCTCCGGTCTTGCCTCCTTAGTGCGGTTATTCAGTTCGCACGACTTTTGTCCTATGATGAAGTTATAGCTTTGACATGTGATTTCTGTTTCACAGCTGCCATCACACTCGTGAAGAGCTCTTACGAGGAATCTTTTGAAGACGAATCCCTGTAGAGCCATTCCATTTATGCTCCGTTCCTCTCTGCATTGTTTACCAGCAGATGCGCAGTCCATAAGGAAGCCGCCGAAGAGGAAGAAACATGAACTAACAGTCCACAGCATTTTCCTTGTCTTTTAATTTTGTAACTGTAGGGAGAGATTGACCCAAATATAAAACTAATCATTTCAGGAAAGACATACGAAGCTCCTGAACCATCCAGACATCATTCAATTAGTATCAGGGAGCTTTATCGCAGACGTTTTGCATAGGTGCACGTGACTATGGTCAAATTGTTCTCATTAAGCTATGTTTTTTCATTCATTGCGTTATTTGCAATTAAAAAACAGGTTTACCTTTATCGGGAATTTGTCGTTTTTTTTTGGACCCAAGGAAACAATAAAGGCCTAGTGTGCTATGCCACTCCAAACATACAAGTGCCGAGTTACAGTCTTGCTTTTTGGAGCAAGTAACCATCTTTAGCCGCAACATGATCTCCGTAAGTCGTTATCGACGTAAACTTCTGATTAAAATTAATTCAGTATTTCTTCTTGTTCTCCAAACGTTTACTTACATCGATATTATGCATCAGTGATCCTTTACCATAAGAAACAAAATGTATTAAAGATCTTTATGACACTGATCACCTGAGATAGCTAAAGGATTAAATGGAAATAATTTCATTTGATCGACATGGGATCAACAAGTGATGAATTAGACAAGAAGCATTGAAAAGCTGTATACCGGAAGGTGAAATTTAGTGCTCATAATAGAGGCAACAGGCAAAATTCGATATATTAAAATTGTAACCTTGCTCCGAATCACAGGGGAATAAAAAAAAAAATTACACCAAGTTTGAGGGATGAATGATTTAATTTGCCTTGGAGCCAAGCGGATAATTTTTAAAGCTTTGTGTTGGAAAAAACCCTTGAAAACTGATGTAAGAGCCTGAAACCGTGATCGTCGCCGTTCGCCTAAACGAATCTGAACGAACTTAGAGCATTTATTTATTCATATTTAGTTGCACTAGACCTACATTCTTGCCAAAGTTGAGGATTTTCGTCTCTTTTTTTCCATTTTGCACCCCCCCCCCCCCCCCCCCCCCC